CCTCGCCCGTAGGCTCGGCTCGCCGTGTAGACGAGCCACGAGCCGAGAACCTGTGACCGTTTTGGTCACTTTTCAATGACCGTTTGGTCACTGAACTTTTTTTTCTCCCCCCGCCCCCCATTTTTTTATTATAAATACCTCCTTCCCCAAAAAAAAATTTTTTATATCAATTGCTCTTTCAATATTACAACTCTCTCAACTCTCTTTTATTATATCAATTATGGAGTTTTTACTTTCTTGTACTGCAAAATATACAATATCAATTCAATTTTTCCAGTTTATTAGTTATAATTTCAATTCATCCAATTCTCACAATCTCACTACATTTATATTCATCTAGTCAAGATTTCATCATAAACAATCACAGAAACGGATCAACGTTCATTTGTTGAGAGCTTGTTCGATACAGGATATGAGTCATTGCCACATCATGGAGAATCCCCTAGGACGCCGCAAAGTCAATTTCCAAATGAATTTGTTGGTCTAAATGACATACCGATACTTGAAGATGTTCACATTCACGGTCAGGGAAGCCACACTCCAATTGATTTGGATGATATTAACGTTCCCGAAGCGGAACATGAAGATGAAGATCAGCAATTAAATATCCCAGATGCGAGGGGAAAGCGAAAGGCCAAAAAACAAGCAAGATGTTGGGATCACTTTAAGTTGATTTCAACGGGAAAAGTCGTTGATGGCCTTGCAGAATCTAAAGCAGTATGGAAATACTGCCAACAAAATTTGGTATGGCAAAAAGGAATTGGTACCACTCATCTCAACCGTCACTATAAATCATATGCAGCCAGACATGGACTTCTTCCAGTTGGTCAAACAAAATTACAATTTGACAGTCTAGGCGCCGGTTCTACAACTTCACCCCTATCCACGTGGGTGTATTCGGAGGACGAGACTCGAATCGGAATGGTGAAATTTGTTGCAGCCACTGAGTTGTCTCTGGCTATTGCAGACAACCAACACTTCGTCTCGTTTGTGAAAGAATATCTACAACCGAAGTACGTTGGGTTAAGTCGAAACACTCTTCGTTCCAATATAATAAATTATTTCAATAATTCAAAACAACAATTAATTATG